TGTGTGTGTGTGCGTGTGCGCGTGCGTATGCGTGTGCGTGTGCGTAAGTGCGTGTGCGCGTGTGCGTGTGCGTGTCCGTGTGAGCGTGTGCGTGTGTGCGTGTGTGCGTGTGCGCGTGTGTGCGTGTGTGCGTGTGTGCGTGTTGTGCGTGTGTGCCGGTGTGTGTGTGTGGTGTGTGTGCGTGTATGTGTGTGCGTGATTGCGTGTGCGTGTGTGTGTGTGCGTGTGTGCGTGTACGTGTGTGCGTGTGTTGCGAGTGCGTGTGTGCGTGTGTGTCGTGTGTGCGTGTGTGCGTGTGTGCGTGTGTGTGTGTGAGCGTGCCGTGCGTGTGTGCGTGTGTGAGGGTGTGCGAGTGTGTGTGTGGTGTGTGCGTGTGTGCGTGTGTGCGTTTGTGATGTGGTGCGTGTGCGTGCCGTGTTGCATGTTGTGCGCGTTGGCGGTGTGCGTGTGTGGCGTGTGTGCATGAGTGCGTGTGTGCGTGTGTGTGTGGTGTGCGTCTGCGCGTAGCGTGTGTGTGCGCTTGTGCGTGTGTGCGTGTGTGCGTGAGTGTGCGTGTGTGCGTGTGCGCGTGTGCGCGTGTGCGTGTGTGCGTGTGTGCGCGTGTGCGTGTGTGCGTGTGTGCGTGTGTGCGTGCGTGCGTGCGTGCGTGCGTGAATTTGCGTGCGTGTGTGTGTGTGTCAATGTGAATGTGTGTGTGTGTGTGTGTCTGCGCGTGTGTGTGTGTGCGTGTGTGCGTGTGCGTGTGTGTGTGCGTGTGCGTGAGTGCGTGTGCGCGTGCGCGTGCGCGTGTGTGCGTTTGCTGTTGCATGCGTACGTGTGTGCGTGTGTGTGCGTGCGTGTGTGCGTGTGTGTGTGGGTGTGTGTGTTTGCGTGGGTGTCTGCGTGGGTGTTTGTGCGTGTGTGTGTGTGTCTGCCGTGCCTCTGGGCTGGACCGCTTCCGCGCTTCCCTTTTCGGCCAGTAGCCTGACGTCGCCGCGTCGCTGGGCGGGTGGCCGCAGCGCCACTGAAGTGTGTGTGTGTGATGTGTGTGACGTGTGTGTGTGTGTGTGAGTGAGTGAATGGTGTATGGGTACGTGCGTGTGTGTGTCGCCAGCTCGTGCTGGCTGTCTGTGATGAAACCTGACTGCACTCACTTTGGCTGGTCTGGTAGCCTGTACAACTCTCTGAACTCGCTCGCTCCTTTGTCTCATATGTATACGGTGATTCAATGCCAGCAAATTCGCACCAGGTTGCTTGCGCTAAAATTTACCTCGATTTGAGTTCGCTTATCTGATCTGTGGCCGCTGCGCGTTTCCCCAACATTTAGCATTTTCCTTCACACCAACCATCGCTGCATTTGACAATGTGCACGGGTTGTGCACTGTGCCTAAGGAAATGATCGATCGCAATTGGCACTTCCATCTGCCGACTACGCCTGAGGATCCTCTGTGCCGCCGACTTGAAAAGTGCGCGTAAATGTGAATGTGAATGTGAATGCGACTGTGAATGTGAATGCGAATGTGAATGTGACTGGGAATGTGAATGTGAATGTGTATGTGTGCATGTGTATGTGTATGCGTCTGTGTAAGTGTATGTGTATGTGGATTTGCTTGTGTACGTGTATTTGTGTGCCTGTGCGTGTTTGTGCGTTTTTGTGTGTGTTTGCGTGTGCTTGTGTGTATCTGTGTGCGTGTATTGGGGGCGGGGTGAGTGTGGATGTGTGTGTGTGCGGGTGTGGATATGCTTTGGGATCCATATAGACCCCATCTTCCTGCGTCACTTTTCGAGCCGGATCGATCCGACAAGGTCCCGGGCCCCGAAAACAGGCGAAAACGCCCGGATCTGAGCGCGAGTGTTGATGTGTCTGTGTCTGTGCCCGCGTCTGTGTCTGTGCCTGTGCCTGTGCCTGTGTCTGTGTCTGTGTCTGTGTCTGTGTCTGTGTCTGTGCCTGTGTGTGGGGGTCCGTGTGCATGTGTCTGTGTCTGCGTGTCTGTCTGTGCCCGCGTGTGTCTGTGCGTGCGTGCGCGCGTGCGCGCGGCCACCGCGCCGTCCTGCCCAGGCCCGCAGGATCTCGCCGGGCAGCGGGCCGCGGAGGTACGCGCGGCCCTCGGCGGTGCGGCACAGGCCCAGCACGCAGCCTCGGCGACGGCGGGCTCCGGCCCGCCCGGGCTCGGCGGCCAGCCACCGCGGGGGTCGGAGGAGGTCGCACGGCATGCTGGACGCATCGGCGATGCACTGGCGATGCACCCGCGGCGTCGGCGATGCATCGGCCATGCGCGCGCGCGAGCCTCCGACCCCATCGATCGACCCCAGCGGGGAGGCCCAGGCTCGGCGGCGAGCGAGGGGGGGACGCGAGCAGGAGCAGGCCCTCGGAGAAGGCTCCGGAGTCCTCGGGCCTTCTGAGAGGTTCTCTGAGCCTCCCCCGGAGACACGGAACACTTCTCAGAAGGCCCGAGGGCTTCTGAGACGCCCCGCCGCCTTCTGAGAGGGCCTTCTCCTTCTCGCTTCCCGCCCTCGCTCGCCGCCGATAGATGAGCGGCAAGCGTATCCGTGTCCACGCCCTTGCGGTCTGGATTCTAGGGTGCGATCCCGCGGATACGCGGCCGCAGGGAAACAATCCACGCGGGGCGTCTGCGCAGAAACGCCCCGCATCCGCGGGGTCACGGACCAAAGGTCCAGCCCGCGAGCCCGCGCGCCCGCGAGGCCGCGTCATCCTGGTCAGGACGCACCCCGCAGGAGAGGTCCGGGGAGTAGCGGCACGGCAGGTTCGCGTCACGTCGACTGGCGGCGACCCCTGCGCTTTCAACGTTGAACGCCGCGGGCGACCCAGAATCGGACCATGTTGACGGATCTGACGTTTCGGGGACGGCCGATCGTTCTACGTTGAACGACCTCGTGGCGTCAGAAACCAGCGCCGTCATCGGCACGACACGAGCCTGTCTTGACTTTTTGGTCACTCTCCGCTGCTGCCTAAGCATAATTTGTCGGAACTCAATGCGGCTTTCTTGGATCGGCGCCAGGCTCCCCTCCTCCTCCTCCTCCTCCTCCTCCTCCTCCTCCTGCTCCTCCTCCTCCCCCTCCTCCTCCTCCTCCCTCCTCCTTCTCCTCACCCTTCTCCTCCTCCTCCTCCTCCTCCTCCTCCTCCTCCTCACCCTCCTCCTCCTCCTCCTCCTCCTCCTCCTCCTCCACCTCCTCCTCCTCCTCCTCCTCCTCCTCCTCCTCCTCCTCCTCCTCCTCCTCCTCCTCTTCCGCGCCTCCTCCCAACTGTCCAGGTCACCCGCAAGAGCGAGAAACCACGGCGGCTGTTCGAGCATTCAGGAAAGCCCAATTCCCCGGGGCACTTCAAGGAATGGCCAGAGCCTCATCCTGGAGCATGGATACACATCCTCCCAGTGGACCCGCTCATCCACGGCCAGTGGCGCCACTCATGGACTAGCTCCAACGCGGCCACTGACTGTTGGTTTCGGCCATCTCGGTTACTTTAGCGATGTGGCGAGTTTCGTCCAACTCCTGGCTTCCAACGGTCTCCAGTATTTCACCGATGACCGCTTCATCCCTAAAGATGGGTTTAGGTACCCTCAATGCCTGTAGCGAGCTCGGCAATCCTCTCCTAACGTTTTACCTGTCTCGCGTTGCATATGTCCAGACAGGCCAGAATCCAGAGGCCACGGCATCACTCACCTGGTCTGAGCTGGGCCCTGACGCTTGTCCGCAGCGGTGGTCGTTCGTTCGTTCTGGCCCCCCTGGCGGCGCCTCATGCCCTGGCACGCCCCGCCCCCTGGTCCAAGAAATCCGCACGGACCTCCGTCATCTTCTGCTTATGCGCTTTTGTGTTCCCCCAGATCACTCGGCAGTCGGGCGTCTACCGGGGCACAGAAGCGAGCGCACATTGATCACACATTGAGCGCAAAGGGGAGTCATCGGCGCAAGAGGTCATGATAATGATGCGTTCAAAGATTTCGAAGGGCTCCAGGATCTCCAAATGTCACCACGCTTGCTGCAGAAACGACGGCCGCCAGATATTTCCGAACTCCTGGAACGCATCCATGATATTATCCTCGTCCTGGGTAGGGGCCCAGACATCGGCGCCTGGGAAAAGTCGAGGCGCCTGGTTTGTCACATGTTTTGGCTCACGGGGCCAGCTTCGTGCCGCCGGCACAATCAGAAAGCAGCTCGGGATTAAGAACCGACCCTGGGATCGAGAGGTCAGGGACCCTGGCATCCCCACGTCGCGAACATATCACGACGGACAATCTGTTAAAATAACTGTTGGGTTTGAACGGGCCCCGGGACCGTCAACAAAAACGACTTGAGAGTAAAAGCCGGTATCCAGAAAGGGGTCCAGACCGATGGCAGCCACGCTGCAAACAAAATCACGACCGAGGATGTCTGGGAGTGGAGGGGAGGCGAGAAGAAGGGCTGAGGAGCAGGAGCCGGAGGAGGGGTCTTCAGGAATCTTCAAGTCATTGCAGTGTGCGGCCCACCTTGCGTCACCATCGTGGTTCACACTCGACGTCAAGGCAATCGTTGGGCAAATAGAGGGCAAGCGCTGGGTGCTCCCCAATGGCGCACAGTTTAGTCGCTTCATGGGAGCATGAGGATCCAGGCCACCCAACTGGGACCAGAGCGGATGAGGTCGGAGGATCGCGCCGCATCGCCAGCACAATCGGCGATGCGGCTTGATCCAGATCCTGATGATCTCGATCCCGATCCCGACGGCCCCGATGTGCCGCCGCTGCCACGGCGATGTGGTGCGATCCCCCAGCCGCATCTGTTCAAGCCCACTTCGGGTGGCTTCCCGAGGAGGAGGTGCAGGAGGCGGAGGAGGAGGAGGAGGAGGAAAGGGCAGGAGGATAGAGCACCAATAACTGCGCGCGGCGCTCTGAAAGCTGAAGCTTATCCTGCGTTCAGTCTTTCCCCCGAGGACGACGACGACGAGGAAGTAGAGATGGGGAGTGAAAGATAGAACCTGCCATAGGCCCCTCCCCTCCTCCCGCTCTCCGCGGGCCCGCGGCGGGCGCCTGCGGCTGCGCTGCGAACCGCCGCCTCGCCGGTGAGCGCGCACCCGCCCTGGCGCGGAGCCAGACAGGAGGGGGCGCCAGAGAACCCACCTCCTCGTCTTTCTTCCTCCTTCTCCTCCTCTTCATCATGATCATCAGAATCCCGAACCATCATCACCATCATCATCATCATCATCATCATCATCATCATCATCATCATCATCAGCAGCAGCAGCAGCAGCAGCATCATCATCCGCAGCAGCAACAGCATCATCATCAGCAGCAGCAACATCATCATAATCATCATACTCATCAGCATCATCAGCATCATACTCATCAGCATCATCATCACCATCACCATCACCATCACCACCACCATCACCATCATCCTCATCAGCATCAGCATAAGCATCAGCAGCATCAGCATCATCATCATCAGCATCATCATCAGCATCGTTATCATCATCCTCATCATCATCAACAACATCGTCGTCAGCACCACCACCACCACCACGACCACCACGACCACCACGACCACCACGATCCTCCTCCTGTTCCTCCGCCTCTTCCTTTCCTCCTCCTTCTCATCATCTCCATCACACCACCACTACCATCATCATCATCAGCAGCAGCATCATCGTCGCCACCATCATCATCAACATCATTATCATCATCCGCCTCATCATCCTCATCAGCATCATCATGATAGATCATCATAATCATCATCATCGGCATCACCATCATCATCATCCTCATCATCGTCATCAGCATCGTCGTCGTCACAACCACGACCACCACGACCACCATCACCACCAACAACAAGATGATCATCATCATCATCATCATCATCATCATCATCATCATCATCATCATCATCATCAAACCCGCCACAGATGCCGGACCTGGAGTGCCGAGAGCACCGCGGAGAGGGGGGAAAGCAGAAGGCATCCCGCAGTGACCAGGGGGATGGACCTTCCAGCGGGCGGTGTCCGGAGGCCGACCCGTCGGCCCTCGGCACGCCACCTGCAAGGAGGAAAGACTGGTCTACTCTCTACTCTGTAAGAACGGTTTTTTGAAGACAGATCTGCCTTCAAAAAATGGTCTACTCTGTAAGAACGGTTTTTTGAAGGCAGATCTGCCTTCAAAAAACCGTTCTTACAAGGCAGATCTGCCTTCAAAAAACCGTTCTTACAGAGTGCACCCGCGCCCATGGAGGGCCTCGGGGCGGCCGCGTGGCGCCTCCTGCGGCACGGCCCCGCGGAGGCTGAGCGCAGAACGCAACGTCTGCCCGGCGCTGCCTCTCCCGGGCTCTGCCCCTGCGAGCACAGCAGGCGACCGCTCGGGCGGCGCGCCCCCCTGCGGGCGCGCGCGCGAGCGCGCGCGGGCGCGCGCCGCGGACATTGTTTTGTGCTCGACACTCCGCTGCCACAGGATTCGAGCACTGGGGGCGGGGCCCAGTGCAAGGCAGAGCCCCGGCGGCCCTGCAGGCCTCAGAAGAGAGCCGCTGCTGTGGAGCACGCCGATCTCCGCGACGAGCCCCAGCGCAGAAGAGGGGGAGCGGGGGCGCCCCATTGCAGCACCCGAGGCGCGGGGGCGCCCGGGGGGCGGGAGCCAGCGGAGGTGTTGAGAGGCGAGGGGCCGGGCGGGGGGGGGGTGCTGGGGCACGACATCCGGGAGCCGTCGCGGCCCCTGCCACGTGCGGGCCCCAAGAGTATACACCACCACCACGTCGATTCCTCCTCCCTCCTCTGCCCTCCTCTTCCTCTCCTCGCTCCTGAGAGAGGGAGGGGGTGAGGGAGGTGGTGGTGGTGTATACCTGTTGAACCCGTTACCACGATACCTCCCCCCACCCCCCGGGCCACCCCCCTCCCCAAACCCCCGACGTAATGATTTGTTCATTACGTCGACCCCCTCAGAGGTCCCGACCCTTTCCCCATGACCGGCTTTGCATCCTGAGTCGTTATCTGACGCTCCCGAGGCCCGGTGAGGGGCCCCGGAGGCCGAAAATCAGGAAAACCTCCCGTCGTGATTTTTTCATTACTCGAGGGGTTCTAGGTCTGGGACGCCCCCGGCACAAGCGCGCAAGCACCGGGGCTCCCCGCACACGGTGCGATGGCAGACCGCGCGCCGACGAGGCCTCGCGGCGCGACCCGTCACCGCGGGGAATTTGGGGAGGCACTGGGGCGGGCCCCGGTGGCCCGAGGCGCCCTGTCCCAAAACCCGGCGGCCACCCGGAGGAGGAGGTGGAGGAGGAGGAGAGACGAGGAGGAGGAGGAGGAGGAGGAGGAGGTGGAGGAGGGACAAATGAGGAGGAGGAAGAGGAGGAGGAGGAGAGGGAGGAGGAGGGAAGGAGGGAAGGAGCATGGAAGAGGAGGAGGAGGAAGGAGGAGGAAGGAGGAGGAGGAGGATGCAGGAGGAATCGGAGGAGGAGGAGGCGGAGGTGATCGAGGAGGTCCTGCGACAGCAGCTGGCTTCAGCAGAGCAAAAGGAGGAGGAGGAGGAGGAGGAGGAGGAGGACCAGTGTAAACCCAAGACGAAACAACGATGTTGCAGTACGTCCTCCCTCAACACTCCCCTCGTCACATGTCCCTACACGGACGTATGCTCACTTCTGCAAACATTTTGGTGGAAAACAACAGTTCGAGAATCCGCAATCGTACCAACACTGCACTCGTTGGACTTCAACGCAGCAAATCAACTTCACCTCTGCGTCCTGAATTCCCTGAATCACGCCAGAACGCTATTCCTGGGAGCTCAACACCGCGAATCTATGTGACTGTTTCGCCCTGACAATCCTAAGCCGCGCCTGAGCACAATTCCTGGGACGGCCAAATACAAAAAATCCACCCATATGCTTTGAATCTGTACCACGAATGAACGCGGCGCTGAGAAGAGAGCCACACTTTGAAAAGAATCGGCGCCTTCCATTCGCGAAACTTCTGGGAACTTTTGAGACGAATGCACGAGGCCCTGAGGCGAGAGCCACAACTTGAAAACAGCCCGCCCTCTATCCGTGAAATGCTCGCAGGCTTTCAGGGCGAACGCGCACGGCCCTAAAAGGCGAGAGCCACATGGTGAAAACCACCTGCCCTCTATATCCGCGAACCCCTTGCAACATTTGAAAACGCATGCGCGCGGCCCCGAGGCGAGGGCCACATGTCGAGAACCACCCGCCCTCCACCCGTGGAACCCACTCGAGCTTCTCAACCGAATGTGTGTGCGCGGCGCTACGGCGAGAACCACATTCTGGCCAGGAGCCGCCAGCACCCATCCGTGAAGCTCATGCAGAATTGGAAGACGAGTGGCGCGGCGCCGGAGCGAGAGCCACAGACTGAAAACCACCAGCCCTCCATCCGTGAAGCCCTTGCCTCGTGCCAACTTTTCACGCGAATGCGCGAGGCGCTGAGGCGAGGGCCACAGTTTGAAAGCAACCCGCCCTCCGTCCGCGAAGCCTTGCAAACTTTGAGAATAGTGTGCGCGGCGCTGAAGCCAGAACCACATGTTGAAAAACATCCGCCCTTCAGGCGTGAAACTAACGATTGCAAACGTTTCTTCAGGATTGTAAATCGTGAGGAAAACTCAGGCGAAAAGCACGGTTCCCCCTATCGAGGCGTCCCGGGGTGCGACAGGGAGGTTACTCATAAGGAAAAGGATGGAGGAAGGGGATGATGAGGAGGAGGAGGAGAATGAGGAAAAGGCGAAGGACGGAAGGAGGAAGAGGAGAAGGACGGAAGGAGGAAGAGGCGAAGGACGAAGGAGAAGCACGGAAGGGTGAGGAGAAGTGGCGTTCGAACATGCACGCAGGTCGCAGGATCGCAGGAGGAGGGGGCGGAGGAGGGGAGTGAGGATGGAGGGTAAGAAGAGGAAGGAAAAGGAGGAGGAGGAGGAGGAGGAGGAGGAGGAGGAGAAGGAGGAGGAGGAGAGGTAGTGAAGGGAGGAAGAGGCGGAGGAGGAGGAAGAGGAGGAGGAGGAGGCGCTTGATTACACCCGCAGATCGCAGCATTTCAGGTGGAGCAGGAGGAGGAGGAGGGGGAGGAGGAGGACGAGGTGGGGGGTAGAGGGATTCGTCGGTCATCCCATAATCCCTGGGGCCGGACTGAGGAGGAGGGGGATAAGGGGGAGGAGGTGGAAAAGGAGGAAGGCGGAGGATGTAGAAGGAGGAGGAGGCGGAGGACAACGAGAATGTCCTGCGACATCGGCTGGCTTCAGCATGGCAGGACGAGAAGAAGGAGGCGGTTGGGGGGGACGAAGATAAGGAGGGAAGGAAGAGGAAGAGGAGAAAAGACTGGCGAGAATGAGGAGGAGGAAGAGGAGGGAAGAAGGGAAACAGAAGGAAGTGGAGGAGCAAGAGGGGGAGGAGAAGGAGGAGGAGGAAGAGGGAAGGAAGAGGAGCCCACGCCACAAGAGGAGTCCCCATCCCACCCACCTAAGCTGCATCGATGGCGCCGCCCGCAGCCCCTGCAGGGCCTGACCCCAGCTCCGTTCCGAAGGAGCCCAAGTGGACCGAGTAGGAGCCGAAACCGGCATCAATGCCGACTCCGCTGGCCACCGCCAGCGTGTCGGCGACGGCAGAACCGCCAGAAGGGGAAGCAGTACAACCGACGTGACTCGCAGCGGCGTCGTGACGTACAGCGCCGCCGAGGGACAGAAGGTCGACGTGCACTGAATGAGCCAAGTACTGCAGCAGCGAAGCTGAAGAAGATCAGGCTGTCGAAGAAGAGGGGCCCCTGCCACCTCCCAGCCCTGAGGCTGCACGGAGAGACCCCTATCACGCTCACGCCGCTCACCGGGCAAAAGGACACCATTTTGGCCTTCACTATTCGGGGGCGCGCAAACATGGCATGGATTAACGATCCATGGATTTGACGCGCGGTCCTCCCCAAAACGCGGCCGGTGCCGCCTCCTTCGGCGGCGGCAATCTGCGATTTCCCATGGACACGGGACCCGTCGCTAATCCACGCCCCCTTGATCCATGTTTGCGATCGCCTGAACCATGTCGATCGTGACCAGCTCCACGAAGAGGGCCTCCTGCGGGAGATGAGGTGCACCTGAGGGGAAACCTGGAGCACCCTGAACGCAGCAGCTCCTTCAACGGCTGCGGGAAGTCACCGCGCAGCGCGAGGAACGAAGAAACCCAGGATACCGAGATGAACAGCAGATGGTTTCTTGATGCGCGCCCCCACTGCATGTCGATCGTGGCCAGCTCCACGAGGAGGGCCTCCTGCCAGCGCCCAGTCAGCATCACGCAGCACGCGCTCGGCCACGCAGGCTCTGCCCTCGGGGGGTCACGAACAATGCCCCCGCCTGCCAAATCGCGTCGCCACTAGCTTTCAAAGTCGGGCCTGTACTCCTACAAAGGGATCTTTTGGACGAAGAATAGAAATACCGGAAAAATACGTATGGTCAAAAAAAGTCCCCATGCTATTGTTTGAATATTTTTTGTTGACTCCTCCTGTAGAGGGACAGGCCCAACCTAACACTAGCTTCACCCAGTAGGGCAATGAATGCATCATCACGCCAACCGTCGGGGTCCTCACTGTTACAGTGCTCATCGTGTACATCAACCTGAAGGGCACCATCAGCGTAACGACGTGCCGCTCCCGTGGCATTGGGAGCACAATGCAAGACCACATGATGCTTACCACAACGATGCTGGACTCCAATCGCCGACGGCATCAGGAAGAACCACAAGCGCGGTAAGTTCGGCAGGGTCGGGGAGAATGGCGGCACGATCATGAAGAACACCAGCACCGATAGCATCAGGAAGAGCTACAGGTCGAGGGCCAGATGGAGGTGCATCCCAGTCGCTCGTATGAGCCGCACGGCTAGCTCTTGAGTTCTGCCGTAACTGAAGCTGATGTGCGGCCTCAGGTCGTGGGACAGGGTGGACACCAGAATCCCCCCCCTCGGAAGATTGCGAGGGTGAGGCTCTTGCTGTCGATCGTCGGGCAGGGGAGCCGCTTGCTAGAGGACAGGGCGGGCAGCAGAAACAGCAGGCGGGAAATGACCATGCTGTGGCGGAGCCGCAGGGGGGAGCATCACCTTCACGGTGGAGTGGTGCACCACGGGGCTGTTCATCAGACCGCACCGCGGCAACACCGCTGCCAGGCGCAGGCACATCGACAACCGGAGGCGGCTCACAGATATCTGGGGCACTGCCACGCGCAGCGCGCGCGAGCCATAGAGAAGAAGCCAACGGCGGCGCCGACTCGTAAGCGGACGTGGCCCGTGATAGTCGAGCGTGCTCTTTGGCAACTGTCAACTCGGAGTTCGCCCTGAGGTGGAACTACTTGCAGCCCTCGCCATCAGAGCATCGAGGGTGAAACTTGCAAGTGAAGACCGTAGCAATCCGCGGTCCAACATCCAGCACCTCGAGGTAGTAGAAATCAAATACCTCCAAGACCAAGCCGGGCGCCAGTAGGAGAGCGATCATCAGCGAGAACGGTACCAGCAGCAGCGCCTGTCCCATGGCGGCGCGCACAATCGTGAGGAGCATCTTTAGGTACAGGACGAACCACGCTAGCATGGAACTGTTCAGCAGCAGGACGATGATGTCCAGGTCCCGCCAGCATCAGAGGCAGCAGGGCATACAGAAACACGATCCTCGAACACAGCGAGCTCGCATCGAAGTCGATGTCGAATCAAATCTTGCCCGTCGGCGCAACCATCAGGAACAGCCACCTGAGGCAGCGGATAGTCAGGCGGCGTCGGAGGACCGAACTGAGGAGCATCATGCCACAAAGGGTACCCCACCGGAGTCGAACCAGCAACAGGAGCGGTCGGCTTGGCAGCGCCATCGAAGCCTGCGCCACGGAGCCCGCACCCGGGCCGGGAGCGGCACGGGCAACCAACCCATGAGCTCGGGCAGGGTCTCAGCGCTAGCCACACCGATCGGGAGAAGGGACGGCTGGGCGACCACCTGGAAGACGGCGTACGGTGGGCGAACCACAGACAGCAAGGACGAGGAGGAGGAGGAGGAGGAGGAGGAGGAGGAGATGGAGGAGGAGGGGGAGGAGGGGGGAGGGAGGAGGGAGGAGGAGGAGGAGGAGGAGGAGGAGGGAGGAGGAGGAGGACGAGGAGGAGAAGGACGAGGAGGAGGAGGAGGAGGAGGAGGAGGAGGAGGAGGAGGAGGAGGAGTCAGGGCGGCGGCGGCAGCGCCCAGCGGCGGGCGACGGCGCGGCGCGTGGCCCCAGGGGAGGGGGGGCCACTCGCACTGGCCAGCGAGACGGGCAGAGGGGCACGGGCCCCCGAAGAAGCAGCACCAGGAAGCGGCACCCGATGCTTGAGACGTTCGAGGAGGAGGAGGAGGAGGAGGAGGAGGAGGAGGAGGAGGAGGAGGAGGAGATGGAGGAGGAGCTGGTACACGACCGTGGCGGTGACCAGCGGGGCAGCACTCCAGGAAAAAAACCATGCACCAGCACGGAGCGCCTCACACGGGCAGCAGGGGCAAGACGGCGTGGCATATCGCCACCGGGTCCAACGAGAGCAGCAACCCAACCAGCAGGCGGCAGCGAACGCAACAGAGTGCATGACGGACGGGCGGCACGTCCGGGGACACGACCTAGCATGACTTGAACCGACCTGGCTGAGGAGGAGGGAAGGGAGAGGATGAGGAGGAGGAGGGAAGGAAGAGGACGAGGAGCAGGAAGAGGAGGAGGAGGAGGAGGAGGAGGAGGAGGAGGAGGAGGAGAAGGCAAGGGGGAGGAGGAGGGAAGACTTTCCAGAGGAGGAGGGGGAGAAGGAAGGAGGGGAGGAAGAGGTCCCCCGAGCGTGCCGGCCTGCGCCAGCCTCTCGCGCAACTCGGCCGGCAGCTGCTTCCCGGAGGAGGCCTCGGCCTTCTCCCACGGGTACAGGAAGCCAGACATCCTTCCGTAAGGGCGGGGGCACTCCATCGGCGAACCACCGAGGCCACCCAGCGCCCACCAAGCACCCGCCCGACGATCCTCCCCCACGGGCACAGAAGGCCAGACATCCTTCTGGAAGGGCGGGGGCACTCCATCGGCGAACGACCGTGGCGCCAGGGAGAGGAGGAGGAGGCGGAGGAGGAGGAGGAGGAGGAGGAGGAGGAGGAGGAGGAGGAGAAGCAACCGAGCGCCCACCGAAAGCACACGCCTCAGAGAGCTCCGACGGCGTGTCGTGCTCCATCCAGGTCGTGCTTCCGCGCTCTCGGCCTCCAAGGAGCCCGTTTTCTGACGGGGCCACTGGCGCCGTCGAGCTGGAAGCGGGAACGGAGCACCGCCCATGGGGACGGGGTCGGGAGGTCTGGGGCCGCTGTTCGAAACATCGGACCGGAGGATGCCAGGGGCGGCCGCGACTCGGAACACCGGATCGGAGGATGTCGGGGACCCCAATCAAACAGACAAGACGGCCTTACCAGCCCAGGACAGGTCCCGAGCGTCTGCCCATGGGGACGGGGTCGGGAGGCCTGGGGCCGCGCTTCGAAACATCGTCATGAAGAAAATCCTGGAGGCCTCGCGCGGCGACTTGAGACCCGACTTGCGTCGGGTCCACGTCCCGACTTGCGAAGGGGCCCTGGGACACACAAACAATTACACACAAATAACAGGATTCCCCATATTTCCTCGGTTTTTGTCTTCCAGCCACTTCCCATATTTTCTCATACGTTCCTGGGAATCAGCGATGAATTGTGTCTGTGTGTTTTTTTTTCCTTCCTGAAAGAAAAGCAGACCGTCGTCGGAAATGATGGTCTGCATCGCGCCGTGGGCCGCGTCGGCACTGCATCGGGCGCAGGCCGCGTCCATCGCGCTGTGGGCCGTGCCGCCGCGGGTGGCACTTGGACCCAATCTTCGTCGGCAGAAGGCAGGCTCGAGGCCCGTCGCCGAGCGCGACGGGCGCCATGCCGAGAGCGAGCGCAGCGCAGTACACATCGCACCCCCGCTGTCCCGGCAGTCGCGGCGGGGAAGTCCTCGGGGACATCGCCTCCCTGGCACCTCGCGCTCTCGCTGCACAGGAGGTCGATCCTTGCTTCCCAGACCCCCTCGGGTAAAGAAAAAATCATGACGGGAGGTGTTGCCAAATTTTCGGCCTCTGGAGGCCCTAACCGGCCCTCGGGACCGTCAAAAAACGACCCAAAATGAAAAACTGGTCCTGGGGAATGGGTCGAGATCCCTGAGGGTCGACGTCACGAAAAAATCATGACGTCGGGGGTCTGGGTTCTGAACCCGACAGTTCATCACAACGTCTTGGGCGCGAGTCACGCCGCCACCGGTGCACGAACGATGAAAACGCGGGGATCCCGTCGGCGAGCTGGGCCAAAGCTGTCCGAGCACTGGCCCGGCCTCGCAGTCGCGCCGGATTTCCGGCGATGCCACGGGCGGACGGGCCCTGCGCGCCCCGAGGCTAAGGAGATCGGGGCTAGCCGTCACAGTCGAAACTGAGGATACGGATGCGCGACAAGGGCGCAGGGCCTTCTGGACGCCCGTGCCGAAGATTTCCGAACGGGGCTGGCAAACGAAAGGGGCGACGGATAGACCGAGGAAACGAGGATGCAAGGGAAGCTTGAGCACGTTGCCTATTATCACGATTAGGTCGGGCCTCTCCCCCTACAGGGGGATTTTGGACGAAAAATGAAAAATAGTCCAAAAATGCCCCAAAGATGCCCCAAAAAATTCAAAAAATAATCACCTGACTATTTTTGACTATTTTTGGATATTCCCCCTGTAGAGGGACAGGCCCGACTTAATATTACGATCGTTTTCGACCGCACTGTCTGTCAGGCGCTCTGCTCCGCCTGTTGAGCAGGGACCGACCGTCCCGGCATTCCAATAATCCTACCACGAAATGTTCTTAGAACCCCAAAATGTTATAAGAACAAAAACAATGTTCTTAGAACATAAATCAGATATGATAAAACAAGACAGACTCCGACAGAAATGTTCCAAGAACATTTCGTGGAAACCACAAAAGGTTCTTAGAACATTGCTTAGTGGGGCTATAGGCGAGCCAGGACGCTTCGCCACTGCTTGAGCCTGCGTTCGGGGCCCTGCCTCTCCGGCGGGCCTCCGGCGCAGGGGGGGGAGGCGCAGACTGCGGTGCGCGGCGGGCCGCGCGTTCTCGAGGCCGCTGCCAGATTCAAGGGTGGGGCGGCGGTGTGCATCGCAGCTGGCGACGGGGTCGGTCGAGGAGAGCGGGCTGGTCTCGCGCAGCGCCCGTCCGGCGCCGAAGCCGACAGTTGGCCCGAGATCGGCCGCCATGTGACCTCACAGGAACGACAGGCGGGCGAGGTCGTCATTCTTCAGGTCGCGTCTCATCTCGAAGCGCGCGAGGTCGTGCTGCGCGGAATGGCCTGTTGGCTTGTCCAGGGTATGCAACGAATCTGCGGGCCGCCTCGCAAGGCAGCCTCGGTTCGGGCACGCCTCCCGCTGCCCGACAGGCATAGAATCCTGGATGTCGAGACAACGGCGTTGCTGGTTCGGCAGCGCGTGCTTCGCGCTGCCTCGCGCCATCACTGCGGGGCAAACCGATGGCCACGATCAGCGCCGCAGTTGGGCCCCGACCACACCGACAAGGGCCCTCACCTCCTCAGGACGAAGGGCACGCTGCAGCTGGGCCCTTCGAGCGCGGGTTGCTGAGCAAAGACATCAAGACGCAATGGGGAGTTCAACTCGTGCTCTCCTCCTCGCCCATTCCCTTCACGCATCCATCCTCCTCCTGGGACTCCCGCCCTCTCCAGGCCAGGGCCGCCGTCCTCGCCAGCAGGTCGGCCCCGCACACCACCGCGTGGTAGTCCTTGTCCACGCACAGGTTCCGCATCACGGACAGCACGTCCGGGCCTCAGAGGCAGCCCCACGGAGGGGAGAGGCGAGAGTAGATGGTAAGAGGGAGGGAGGAGGGGAGGGGAAGGAGGAGGAGGAGGAGGAGGAGGAGGAGGAGGAAGAGGAATGGAATGGAATGGAATGGAATGGAATGCCCTATGGGGGAGTGCACAGCACTAAATAATCTCAGCTTAATATAACTGGGATACGAATCGGGGATGAGGGAGTTAAAAAGAGGGAAACCCTCTGAAAACTCCCGAAGCTATCCCCTGGACCGAGCATCTCGGGTGCTCTCCTTCACTCGAATTCGCTCGACCAAAGCATTCATTCCTTGCTCATAGGATGGGGCCGTCTCTGTGGCCGAAAAACTCGTACGTACATTCGTGTCAGAGGTGTCATGGGGCTCGGGCGGGTCGCGGCGCAGCCGAGAAACAGGGAGAGCCTTATCAAGCAAGGCCAAGACGCGACGATTCGGGCACCGCCCTTGCCTCACAATGGAGATCACCTCTAGACCTTTACGAGTGGGGGCAACACAGGGACGGCCTAGTTTCTCAAGCTTTGCTTGAGACCACCCTCCACATTTCAAACGAACTATGGTTTGCTCTCGAACTTGACACACCGAGGCGCCGTCGCCAGTTTCCCGAGCCAAACCAGCAGTGGCTATGAGGGAATGTCCCTGGGGATTCGAGAGCAGCCGACTGATGTGACTAGGAACGCCTTTGCAGCCACTCATCGGGACTCCGTCTGGCGATCCTTCTGCCACCAGCAGACATCTGGTGCACTGCAAATCTAATTCACCATGCTTCCAGCAGTGCCAACATACAGTCCGCTTTGAGCGGCCTGATCTGATCCGCACAGGTCTTTTCCACCTCACCTCATTGGGGAATAGCGGGAGGACCTCAGCGGCTAATTTCATGAAAATCTGCGCACGGGTGGCTGCAAGATTCACATCTGAGAGGAAATCCGCATCTGGCGCAGGGTGGAGGGACAACGCTGCTTTAGCCTGCCTGTCAACAGCAGCGTTGGCCACGGCAAAGAGTCTCCCCTCGCCTTCGAGCAGCGCCATTTCTTCTTCGGACCTGTGCGCCTTCACGTGACGCACGGTGTGGATCAAAGGTGTTCCCTCCAAACCCTGCGCAAAAAGTCTGATGCCAGCAAATTTGTTACCTGCCGCTAGCTGCCTCGACAGGTCTTGCTGGGTGACTCGGATGGCGGCCTTGCAATCTGAACCTAACTCGGCGGGCCTGCTGGCCACTTGGCCGCACAGTGCGATGCCTACGTATTCGGCCATGGCGGGAGTCTGTGGGAGCATGCCAGGCACAACTCCGCGCAGAAAAGCTACTGGATCTTCCCCGATGTCGGGGAGGACTCCAATGGGCCAGGAAGCTCTATCCAGCGGCCTCAACAACGGTTCGCTTCCTGATCCATCCGAGGCCAGTCGGAGCGGCACATTCGTTGTGAGAGTGGCAATCTGCTCAGGGGTTAAATCTAGTGCGTTGCCGTGCTGATCCAAGACGTCAACCTCGTACGAAACCAACGGGCACGGCAGCGCACTGTCCTGGTACGTGAAAATGCCAATGGTGAAAATCAGATGTTCGGGCTCCGCTCGGGCCGCTGCCAGGAACTCGGGAGAGACCTCGGCGGCCTGACGGGCCTCTGAAACATTGGGTAACTGACAGCAGTAGAGCCCGTGGTGGATTGTGTCCATGTCACCACACTCGCACAGCCCGTCACACAATTACCCCGCCCTCTCAGCACGATATTTGGTCCACAATCCTAGGCATCCACAGCTCTTTATTAGATACTTCTGATACCTACTCAGGCGCTTGGCTTTCGGAGACACAGCTTTTCTCACTAAGTCCAGCGTGGCACGCGTCCCAGGGTCGAAGCCCAGCCTTTGGGCCAACCGAAGCTCGCGCTGCCTTTGAACTCCTAGCTCAAGCATGTCGTTTAAAAGTGACGGCGGGGTCTGCGTTGAATCTACATCGTGGCCATTGTGGTCCACCCATTTTAAGGGTGACTACATACCAAACCACCCCAACCCAACCCGAAGACTCGATTTCGGGTTGGGGGGGTACGAGCTTCATGTGTGTTTTATCAACGTTCCCCGACCCCCCCCCCCCCAACTGGAAATGGAGGGCAGATTGGGGCCTTCGGGTTGGGTTGGGGTGGTTTGGTGGGCGGTGAAAGGGGCCACGGTACTTCCAGCCCGCACGGGCCAAACTCAAACAAGCGCGAGAAATCGGGCCCCTGGACTCTTGCCAAGTTTTACAACTGGCGGGCTGACATAATTCCCAGAGGTACACGAGCTCAGCCATCTTCACAAGGGCGTGCTCTGGGCGAGTCGCAGCTGACCACACCATCCTGCACCATTGGATTGCGGGCGCCACAGCGAATCCCGTGCTACTATCACAGTTTAAAACTACCTTAGCTGAAAGTGAAACTCCGCCGTGCGAGGGAGCATCTGAGCTACTCATCAGCCGCTGGTGTGCTAGCCACTCAGACTCAGAAAGTCCCTGGATCTCAACTCCAAAACTGCTCGCAGGGGTCACACCCTGGCGATTTATCTTCCTGAATGGGATCTCCTTGGGACCTTTGAACCCTTTCCTCATGGTTCGCACCTTTCGGATCCTTTTTCTCATCGCAACAAACCTCGACTGCTGCTTCAGTCGCACTCGTTGTCGTCGCCGAACTGCGCCAGAAGACTCGCCCGCGCCCAGGTAGGACACACTGGGCTTGGTCACCGACCTCGGAAGCTCGAGCCCGTCACACACGGCTGCAGCCAAGGTCTGGTGCGTCGAGATGATCGCGGGCTTCTCATCGTTCAGGGTGGCGTTGATCTGCCTGCTGGCCTCGAAGAAATTCTGGATACCCTCCACAGCCGTACCTTTCGCTATGTCGAAATCAGAAGAAGAATTGTGAAGACCTGAATCGTCAATGTAGCTCTGGAAATCTATCATCGGCGACTTCGTTATCATCATGTCAAAAGCGTCCACGGTGTTGACTTTGACGGCTAGGTCAGCGTAAGCATCACCTGCTGGTAATCCTAGCCGAGCACAGAGAACTTCATCTGAGTCATGTCGGCCGGGTCTGATCACTCTGGGGCTCAGCCACCTATTGAATACCAGTTTGAGCCAGCACGTGGGCGCTCCATGACGAAGAAACTTCATCTTCAGAACTTCCAGAGGGATGGTCTCGTAGTACTTAGGCCAGTCAGCAATGAACACAATACCATATCTGTGCGTCATCTGATCAGATTCTGAACGCACTGCTTGAGCCCATGCGCAGTCTATCGCCGATCGTCCTTTGCATGCACCCCAGTATCCTCGACCCAGCGTATCATGCATGCTCTGAACGATGGCGCGCCGAGCCCTCTGCCAAATCCTGTACATACCCGCATACAGACTGATCAGGCGGTTGCCTCCACTGGGCTTGCCCAACAGCGGCATCTGTATCCAGCACAGCTGCGTCGGCAAGACCCCATATGGCCTCTGCCGCTCCCCAGATGGAAGCTAGCACCTCTAATCCTTCGTCGTCCAGCATCGCCGCGTGCCTCGGGTGGAAATTGTCTAGGCTTGCCGAAGTCGTAGCTGGAAATGACTTCGAGATCCGACGTATTTGATCTGGTTCAAGTCGTGGGCAGCTGCTCCTGTCTGGGATCCACGCTGCCGCTGCCGCACTGCTGGCGCCCCACAGCTTTCTGTAGAGGGCCACCTCCTGCTTCACTATCACCACGGGGTCCCCAGATGGTATACCAATGGCAGCAGCTGGTGCGGGGACAGCACGAACTTTGGTAGTACGGCGTAGAGGTCGAGCACCCCGACTCGCAGCAATGCGGCGCCATTCTGTCCACGACTCAATCGCATCTTTTACCTGACCTTTCTCTGCCAGCTCTACGTCATCGTCGATCTCGTCCAGGAAGGTTTGCATGCGTTGCAAGTCGAGTGGTATCTGATTGATCTCCTGGCGACCTTGAGTGACCGCGCTATCCAATCGTCCACTTAGGCCTGCTCCTGGGTACGGTGTCGACATGAATTGAGCTATCTCTTCTGAACATTCTGCCATCTTACCTGGTTTAGAGAATAACTGCTGGATGGTGACCAAGCCTTCTCTGGGCCACTGCCAACCATTGCCAATCGCCTGGATGCCCGACTCTACGTTCATGGGGTATTCAGCGTTGACCCAACGGGGTTCCAGGTTCTTGCCGTACGCCCCGCTGTTCTTGAGCTCGGTGCACGTGTTGGCAACAATGTATTCAGCAACAGTCACTGCAAACTTTCCATATACTCTGGTGAGGTAGGCCCAAGCGCCAGCAGCATCACTCATGGGGTATTGGGCCAAACGTACTGCTTCATCTGCCAAGGCTGCAAGAACTGTCCAGTCAATCGGCTTCGTGCGCGGCCCAGCAGGCAATACAGCGGGAAGTCTCTGCGTGACAGTGTAGACGCAGTGCTGGATCGCGTACCCAATGTCTGCTATCTTTAGTTGGACTGGCCGATGAGCTTTCTTGTGCCAACTACTTTGAACCTGCACTCCTCGAAACCCTCGTTGAGCTGCAGTGTTGAGGCAGAAATAATCTATCGTAGAACAGCCAGTACCACCTCGGAATGTGACTTGATCAGGCATCGCTATCACCACCGAGGCCAGCCGTGGAAACTCTGAGTCCTCTAAGTCCTGGCCCGTCATGTTCCAGTCACCTCCCATGATGCATGGCGTAGCCGTTCGCGCCATGGTTCGACCAGCAGCTGCAAGAACTTCAGTGTTCTCGCCAGTCGCGCCGATCGAGTCCTTCAAGTAAACGTTCAAGAGAGACAGGCTGGGCCACCCTGACAGGTCGACCAAAACGTGCTGCAGGCGATGGTCGTATACCAGTTGAACGCCGTCTGGGTGTCGCAGCCCAAGATCAGCTCGAGCCAGAACTGCAGCACCGCCTGACGGGACCATGCCACTCGTCGGGCGAGCTGGTACAGCAGCAACTTTCCAACCTCGATTCCCTGCCCAGCTGTGCAGCGACTCGATCAAGGGCTCCGTGAAGCCTGTCTCCTGGATCAGTACGATGTGCGCCGTGGTGCGCTGAATCATCTGCTTGAGTGTCTTTCGCCCTCCGCTCGCATTGAACGTCGCGAAGGTGTAGGTACCCTGCATGGGCGGTATCGGCGGCAGCTTCACCACTCCTTGCTGCAGCCTAAGTCCTGATACTAGTAGGTTACCCGAGTCGTGGCTTCTTTCCAAACTCTCGAAGCTTGGCAGCAAACTCCTCGAAGCTACCGTCCTTGCCAAGGGTGTAGAGGGCCTGCTGCTCAGCCTCGTCGAAGTCGCGTTTGAGCCCGCCACCTTCAGTAGATCCAGCTGGGTCTGCGGGCGCACGAGAGTCATCATGCTTATCAGCATCACCCATGCGCACATCAGGAGCCGCAGGTATCTTGGCCGACAGGTGCTCGCGCAACTTCGCCCAGGACGGTGAGCTGAGGAACTTCTTGAGCTCTTCATCATCGAGCTCTTCCTCCCGCACGTTGAGGAAGTCCGCTGGGTTCTGCTCGGGGGCCTCACCGCCAACGCTAGCGGCGTGGGTGCGCACCTCCGCCTGCAGCGCGACGACCTCGGTCTTCTTGGACTCCAGCTGAAGGCGCTTCTCGGCGATGCTCTCCTGCAAGCGCGCCAGCTGATCCTCCTTCTCTCTGATATCTTTCGTGAGCCTCTCGCAGGACGCCTGCGCCTTGTAGAGGTCCTGAGTTGCGCGGCGATGCGCCACGGCGGGAGGCCGTAGCTGCTTCTGCTCTTGCTTGATCGCGTCGATCTTGGTCTGCATAGTCTTCCGTAGCTCATCACCTGACTCGCCTTGTGGGAGCGTCTTGAGCGACGCCTCGAAACAGGCGAGCTGAGCGGCAAGCTTGGCTCGTTTATCTTCTTCTTTGTCATCAGCTTGAGGCTCCGTAGCGGCCGAAGGGTCAGCTTTCGGTACTCTCTGCCACGGCGCCTTCTCCTTCTCTTTGGCATCGGGTTGCCCACCGCGCAGCAGCTTCTCGATCTCCCCCAGGCGCTTGGAGAGCTCAAGGTCTTGCTTCGCACGGCCTGCTGTGCCTCCGCCACCTGCTGACCCAGGCGACTTGGCATCCCATATCTTCTGGTTGTCCCACGCCGACTTGCGGATACGGGCGGGTGCGTCGTTGCCGCAGGTGCACTTGATCCTGCACGCCCAGTTGCTGCTCGCCCCGCAGCGGCCGCACGCCCACAGCGGGCGGCGCGGGCCGCGCAGCACGCTGGGCTGCGGCGGCTGCGGCACCATGAGGCGGAGGACTGTCGGGTGGCGGCGGGCTGCCTGCCACCGACGGGAATCGTGAAATCGGATGTCGGGCTGAACAGCCCTGGCAGTGCTGCGGAATAGCAGCTTCCAGTCTGGCACGGAGGCGCGGAGCCCCCAAGTGCAAGCATCTTGAGCCAAAATGGCTACGGAGGAGGAGGAAGAGGAACAGGAGGAGGAGGAGGAGGAGGAGGAGGTCCCCAAGAGGCGTCCCGAGCGGCCCCAAGAGTCCGCAAGAAGCTCCCATGACGCCCGAAGGGGCACCACCGAGGCCCCAAAGACGCTCTGAGCAGACCCCAACGAGCTTCCAGGAACCGCCCCGGAGGCATCCAGCGCCGAAGAGGGCCCCGAGAGGTCGTTCCTCCTTCGCCTCCTCCTCCTCCTGCTGCTGCTCCTCCTCATCCTCCTCCTCCTTCTCCTCCCTCTCCTCCTCCTCCTCCTCCTCCTCCTCCTCCTCCTCCTCCTCCTCCTCCTCCTCCTCCTCCTCCTCCTCCTCCTCCTCCTCCTCCTCCTCCCCCTCCTCCTCATCCTCCCCCTCCTCCTCCTCCTCCTCGTCCTCCTCCTGCTCCTGTGCGCTCCCTGAGATCCTGGCGGCGCAACTGTTCGAGCCCTGGGGCCATCGCGGCTCGATCGGGTTCCAAAAATGGCGCAGGAAGACGGGGTCTGGGGCTCCAGTCGTGATTTGCTGCTGTGTTGCCATTTTGTGCAACGTCGGATCTCAAAGCTGTGCCCCACCCCCAAACCCCGCGGGAGCGGGGGATGCGGATACGACCCGGGCGCTGGTTTCTAAAACCGCGTGGATCGTTCAACCTCGAACGATCAGCGGCTTTTGGATCGCCAGATCGTTCCTATGTGGCCGACTCTGGGCCGATGGCGGCGTTTGACCTTGAACGCCTGCGGCGGGGTCGCCGCCGCGTCGACACGGCACGATCCAGAGGCGGTGGTTATGGAGACATTCTGGCGGTGGACGCCTGATACAGCGTTGACTGTGTGGAGAGGACTCCGTCGGGCGGGGCCTTGGGCCAGAAGCGTAGGCCAGAGGCTTCAGCCACATGATGGGCCCACGAGCACATAGAAGAGCTGCACCTGCAAAGCTCGCCGTGAGTGTTGTGTGTCACTACGGGCTACGATGCACCATCCTGCGACAGCTCGAGCTACTAGAACCATCGCGCGCTCAAGTTCTAGGCAAACTCTTGGGCAAGACGCGCTGCGATGAGCCAAATCCATGTTCCTCTTTCAGTTGCTCCGATACCGCTACCCTTCGCCCCGCTTTCTCCTTCTTGGGCCTCCTGAGAGGCTCTCGTCGCCACCGCTGGATTCGCCTCGCAATCCCCCAGGAGAGGTCCAGGAGGTAGCGGTATCGGACTCCTCTCAGGAGTCACGAACCCACTCGTACATCTCTCGCTCAGGCCACATCACCCTTCAGTCAAAGACCCGGTCGCCAGTAAAACCGGCCAGGTCTCCGAGGTCCTGCAGGCGGCCGCTGGGGCCCGGGCGCCGCTCGCGCCTGCCCAGGTGGGCCAGCAGGGACGCCACGCCGCCAGGGCCCTCGGCATGGGGGGAGGAGGCCAACGAGGAGGATGAGGAAGAGGAGGCGGAGGTAATGTGAGGCGAGACGAGGCGAGGTGGGGCGAGAGGAAGTGAGGTGAAATGTGGTGAAGCGACGTGAGGTGAGGCGAGGTGAAGTGAGGTGGAGCGACGCGACGCGACGCGAGGCGAGGCGAGGCGAGGTGAGGTGAGGTGGGGTGGAATAGGGTACGGTAAGGTAAGGCAAGGCAAGGTAAGGTATAGTGGTATAGTAAGGGAAGGGAAGGGAAGGGAAAGGTAGTGAAGGGAAGGGAAGGGAAGGCATGGTGAAGCAAGGCCGGGTAGTGTAAGGTAGATGAGGGAATCAATGTGAGCTCATCGCATGTGAGGAAAGCTGGGTTGAATCAGGGTAGGGTAAGGTAAGTCAGGTAATATGAGGCAAGCTGGGGCGAGGTAAGGTGAGATAAGGCAAGGTGGGGTAAGGCAAGGCGAAATGAGGCGAGAAGAGGTGAGGTGAGGTAAAGTACAATAAGACAAAGTGCAAGACGGTGAAGCAAGGTAAAATGAATTGCGGTAAGGTAGGATGACGGAAAGGACAAATAATGTAAGATACGGCATGGTGCAGTAAGGCAAGGTACGGTAAAGAAAGGAGGTATGGTGAGGTAAGGTAAGGTCAGTTCAGGTCAGGTACGTAAGGCAGGGCAAAATCCGACCTGACTGCTGCAACTGGACCAATGTGCGAACAGTATGGATGCAAGACCACCCGTCAGTAAACCAGAGCCTGCCTGCCCGAAACTGCGAAGCCTTGGCCGCTGGGGCGCCGGCGAGGAGGAGGGTGAGGAGGGGGGACGAGGAGAAGGAGGTGAGCGCATGCTTCACGACCTTGCGGGCCTTTGCTTGTTTCCGCTCCGCAGTCTGCCTCCTGCCCTCCGTGATCCAGGTGCGCTCACCCAGGCTTGACTTGTGGGCCACAACGCCCAAGCCCCGAGCCACTACATGTTTTGCTCGGCCGCCTGTCTTCCTTCCTGGCGTTACGGTCCCAGTCGGTCTAAGTCTCCCGCACGTCAAAAGAGGAGGAAGGGGAGAAGGAGGAGGAGGAGGAGGAGGAGGAGGGAGGGAGGGCGGCAGGGAGGAGGGAGGGCGGGGAGGGGGGAGGGAGGAGGAGAGGGAGGGAGGAGGAGGAGGAGGAGGAGGAGGAGGAGGAGGAGGAGGAGGAGGAGAGGGAGGAGGAGGGAGGATGGAGGAGGAGGAGAGCAGTGGGAAGAGGAGGGAGGGAGGAGGAGGAGGAGGAGGAGGGGAGGAGGGAGAAGAGGGAGGAGGGAGGGGAGGAGGAGGAGGAGGCAGGAAGAGGAGGGGGAGCAGAAGAATGAGAACGAGGAGGAGCAGGACCGAGGAGCGAGGCCGAGGAGGACCGAGGGGGGAGCGGGAGCGAGGAGGAGCGAGGAGGAGCGAGGATGAGAATGACGACGACGACGACGACGACGAAAACGACGACGACGACCACGACCTCGCTCCCTCCTCCTCCTCTCATCCTCGTGCTCCTCCTCCTTCTCCGCCTCCTCCTCCTCCTCCTCCTCCTCCTCCTCCTCCTCCTCCTCCCCCTACTCTCCTCTCCTCCTCCTCCTCCTCCTCCTCCTCCTCCTCCTCCTCCTCCTCCTCTTCCTCCTCCTCCTCTTCTCCTCCTCCTCCTCCTCCTCCTCCTCCTTCTCCTTCTCTTTCTCCTCCTCCTCCTCCTCCTCCTCCTCCTGCCTCTCCTGCCTCTCTTGCCTCTCCCTCCTCTTCCTTCTCCTGGATCTGGACGTCCGCAGTGGGCACCAACAGCAAACGTTGTCCAAAACCGTCAGCGAAGGCTTGTGGGGCAGGCGACCCTTTCTCAGAAGGACCACGCCTGCGGCGGCACCCATAGAAAGCCCTGCGCAAAATGGACAGGAACTGCCGTCGGGCTTCGCACCCATTCTTTCCGTACCCATGTCGATCCTACCGACTGGAGCCTTGTCCCCGCCAGCCTTGTCCTCCTCCTCCTCCTCCTCCTGCTCCTCCTCCTCCTCCCTCCCTCCTCCTCCCTCCCTCCCTCCCTCCCTCCCTCCCTCCCTCCCTCCCCCCGCGTCCTCGTTGTCCTCTTCTTGTTCTTACTCCTCCTCCTCCTCATCCGCCTCTTCCTCCTCCTCCTCCTCCTCCTCCTCCTACTCCTACTCCTACTCCTACTCCTAATACTACTACTACTACTACT